TTTCTTTGTCTCTTTTCCAGAAGGTGCACCTGGACCAGTTCTTCTGTGTTTATCTGTGTCTCTTTCCTGTCCCCCAACCAGCCGGTCGAGGCAGATGGCCGCCTGCCCGGAGCCTGGTTCTGCTGGAGGTTTCTTCCTGATTAGCAGGAAGTTTTTCCTCTCCACCGTTTGCTCAGGATGGGAGACTGTGATGAAGTGATTCAACACAATCTGCTGGCTTCTTATTTAGATTGTTCTTTTATTCATGTACAGTGCCCTGAGACAACGTGTGTTGTGACTTGGCGCTATATAAATAAATTGAATTGAATTCACCCCAGAATGAATGGGTCTGCCCCCTGGGTTCGGGTGTATGCTGCCTCCTGTAGGGAGTGGGTACATGTCCCGGTCCTGGGGGTATAGAGTGTGCATCGGGAGTATGAGTGGAATGTGGCGTCCTTCTTGTACAGTATGTCTTTGAATGAGTGGGTGTGAGGATGACGGTGGGTTGGTGCGATTGTGTATGTGTATGTTTGGGTATTTGTCAGGCTGGGGCCTGGGCCACCCCCATGCTGGTTTGTCTGAGGGCCCGCTGCTACACTGCCCCCCAGTGGGAAGTGCTGTTGCCCACCGGCATGCTGGGGGGTTCTCGGGGTCTGGGGCTGGGCGCTGGGGCGGGTGCCATCCTGGCCTGGTGACTGCCTGCTGGGGCTTGGGTCCGCTGGCCCTGTCGGGCTTTGGCCTGTGGGGGAGGGGGGGTACACCCTTGGGGCCCGGACCACTGTGCCCTTGCCTGGATCTGCTCTGGTGTAACGGGTCCGTGAGTTTGTTGCTGCTGGTTTACTGCATGTGGTCACTGGAGGGACTCTTCCGGTTTTCCCCCATGGTCTGATCTGGGGGTGGGTGGGCGGATCTTACAATGCGGGTGTCCCTAGGGATTCTCCGCTCGGGATCCTTCTCGGTTACTTGGGTTCTGATCTCCCCCGTGTCTGCCTCATGTCTTGGGGGTTGGGTCTTCGGTCCTCCACAGTCACTGTTAAATATTCCATTGGAGAAGTCTTGTATATACACGTATGTTCACAACCGCTCACAAACAGGTGTTCTGATCCGCGGGGTTCTGACTGGTCACTGAATGTGTAAATATCTCTGTGTATATACCTACATTATGCATGAATGTATGCATATATGTATGTATATATCTATATATACTGTATATACAGTATGTATGGGTATATGTATAAATGTATGCATGCTTTACAGAGAAATTGTAATTAATTTTATTACCATATAGATAATGATTTTTGTTGCTGTTTTCATGTATTCAGCTTCAGGTGAGCGGACAGACGTAGGGTGTGTGGCCCTGTGTTTTCTTGGTGTATATTTAATATTTCTAATCTATTTCAATCTTTATAATTACATTTCCTCTTTTTTCCCTCTTCTCCTATTTTCTCTTTACTTAAAAAAATCACAGATGAAGAAATTAAGAAACTAATATTAAGTTCTTTTACCTACTGAAGTGAAAAAACGAGAATTGGTTAACACATTTGCAAGAGGTGTCTTCTGCTCTGCTGAGATGGTGATGATGAAGACTGAGAGGTTCCCAGTTTCTTCAAACAGGTCAAAGCAATCAATAAAAACTTTAATAATTAATTAAGCTCGGACGTGTGCTTGATTGTTGTTAATTCTTAAGTTTTATAGGAAAATTGATTGCCCACAATTAAGTTTTCCACCCATAATTAGTTTGATTTACGTAAATAAATGATCTTGTTTGTTGCTGGATCAAATCAAATTCAGTTACTGTATGTCACTTAATGAGTTTGTTATTCACTTTGCAATTAGGAGATATTTTCACCAATAAGTTGAGAACGCTTGATAATTTCCTTATAACTTTTGTTATAAGAGGTGCAAGTACCAGAGAAATGAGTGTGCACCAGCCCGGGAGTTGGCGTGAGCCTGTGCACATTTCCACGTTCATTTTACAACGTTGTGGCTCATCAGTGCTCATTTAACAAACAACCAGAACTACTTTTGCTTTGATACTTTTATTTATTTACACATTAAACTAGTGGCTGTTAATATAAAAAAACAAAACAAAAAAGTATAGTTTATTTACACCATCCGTAAGGCATTATGGGAAAAACAAACTGTACAATAAAGTCAAATAAAAGATAAATGAATTTACAATAAAAAATACAACAAAAAGCAGTAAAGTTTAAATAAAAGGTGTTTTTGTGGAATATATTCTCCCATTAGTTTAATTTGAAGCAGAATAATGGAGTGTTACAAGTTACAACATCCTGCAGGGAATTCTGGGTAAAGACAATAAATGAGCATCTTTAATATCTGCAAGACTTTAAAATCATGAACTTTTCTTTATGGTTATCGTACTCTAGATGATTTTATCAACATGAAAAATGTCACTTATGATTAAAAAGGAGATTTTAAAGTATTTGAACATTTTTTTAGATAAACCAAACTGTGTTGCTGATTTGATTTTATTACAATTCACAACTAAATTAACTTCAGATGAGTTTAGAATCTGTGTTTTTACATAAACCAAAATCTAGAGAAAGGTTTGCTGTTTGTTTGATGCTCAAAATTAAGAAAAAGATTTTTCAGGACCAGTTTGTCATTAGTCGACTAAATTAGTGTGTCTGTGTTAAATTTAAAAAACTCAAAAAGTGCTCGAGATTCATCAGAAAACAAACATGTTGAGTTTTAACTCGACAGGTTAACACTGTATCAGATTGTGCAATGAGAACTAAATGTTTTATGGACATGGTTTCATTTAAAAAAATATGTTTCCATTTTTTTAACTGTTAAGTGCTTTGGTTGAGTTTTATTTTGAAAAGAACAAAACACTGCCTTCATTAAACCCCTAAACAAAGTTTTAGTGTACAAGAACAAAGCATTTTATTGTTTAATTATAAATAACAATCATTCCCTCAATGTAAACATCTTTTTCTAAGGGATCTGATAAATACTGTTTCTTGATCCGGCTTTAACAAACCCTTGTTACTGGAGCAATGCAAGAGGAACTACAGAGAAAAGATGATCTTTAAGAAAATTAATTAACATTTAATCACTTCAGACACGTTTTGCTAAATCAGACTTTTTACTTTTTCTCATCAGTTTGAATTAAAGGGATACTCCAGACATCTTAAAAGCAGGGATTTATGTAAAGTTTACAAACAATCAATATCTGACCTGTTGTAGATAGCTCTTTGGACAGCCTTAGTTTGGAGAAAAAGATGTTAATTCTGACCCGACTGATGAGCTAATGGCTACTCTGAATGAGACTACAGTAAACTGTCGTCATCTTTATACAACTTTAATCTCCAAAATGTCACAACACTTCCTGCAAATGCTATCGAATAAATGTTGACATTGTTTATTTTGTTATAGTTGTTTACAATGAATTCTGTGGATATTTCCAGAGGACATAGCAGCAGCAACAGCTAGCTGTAGCACGTCCTGCAGGAATATCAGAATACTTCTGTTGTAGTAAAAATTTTTTATATAAAACTGACAGCATTCACACAAAAGTCTATGAAAATGTTTCAATTTAGGATTATTTTAAAACAACAAAATGTGCTCTGAAGTTAGCTCCATGCTGACTAGCCATTAGCTCGTCAGCATGGTCCAAGTGCAGCCACCTCCAAAACACATTTAGCTTTCATAAAATAACTCCAATCACAAAAGTCTAATTATGGTTTGTAGGAAGAAGTGCTCTGATAATCCTGCAGGACGTGTTCTCAGGCTACACAGGATGTGCTGCAGCTAGCTGTTGTTGTTAGAGTAGTAGTGACAACATAAAGGTTTAGCAAACACAATTTGGTCTTAGTCCTACTCAGACTAGCTGTGGTCAAAATCAAACTGTTTTTCTCTAAATTGAGTTCATTCATAAAACCATCTACAACAGTTAAGATGTTTGTAGCTTTTTACCCCCACAGAATCCCTCTTCTAAAATGTCTGAACTACTCCTTTAAAATACTGTAGCAGAATCAAGCAGAAGTGATTATATAAAAGCAGCAGACATAGAAACGACAGATAATTCTCTTCCTGTTTTCCTCCACAGCTTTCACAGTGAGTTTTCTGTTTTACCAACTGAAAGCTGCAGAGAAAACACTTCCTGCTGCTGTGAGAACTCATTCTGCAGGTGGGGATTTATGAGTTCGCTGTGGCCCGTTTTGGAAGCTGAACGAGATGTTTGTAAATCAAAAGGTGAAGGAGCAGAAAGAGGGGGAGTCTGCTCCAACGTCCTGCAGGTTTGTTTAATGCAGCCCGGATTAACACCTCTGCTCCTCATCGTCCATTCAGAAAATCATGTTTCTGCTTGTTGACTCTTAAATTTATCTGCAAACTTTTGTAAGAAAAAAAATCAATTAATTCTTTTTATTTATCTGAAATCACACATTCTGAATGGACTGGTTGAGATATCTAGGTACTAAATTCTCTTTTAAATCTATTTCATTAGTTTGTTTATTGGTTCTGTAGAAGCTGCAACAAAAATATTTAAGAACATGAACAAATCAGTTTTTTAAAAAAATCATGTTTTTCTTTATATATTTTTTTCGTACAATTCTAAACAAGCTACATTTTTTTTTACTGAAAAATACTGAAAAAAAAACCTTTAAATATCAAATAAAGCACATTTTCTGCAGTTTTGTGTTTGTTACAATTTCTTTCAGCAGTGAAGTGTTGGTACTTCCTGACCAAAGTGAAAAACAATAGTTTTTTTTTAGTCTGTGTGTAATATCTTTTATTGCTCAGCTCCTCTGCAGGCAGAGTTTCACCTTTGTTTTCAGACAGGATTTAAATCTAATTTAATGTAGATTTTAGAGGCTAACATGACTTTACCTGCAGTACCATGTTTTCAAACACCAAAACCTGACTGAAACTGTAAAACTGGACCTTCATTCAAAAACATTACTTGATTAAACAAACTTGTTGACAATAATTATTAGGTCCAGCAACTTTTAGAATATTATAAAAGATCTGAAAAAACAGACAGGACATCGGGATTGAAAAACTGGTTTGTGCACCACTGGTTACCAGGAAATCCACCTTTATAAAAAGAATTAGGATATTAGAATCAGAGGTGACTGACATGACTGAACGATGAAAGAAGATTAAACTCATTATCTGTTGATGAATCAGTTTTGCTAACAGGAGTGATTACAACCGTTCAGGTACAAGCAGGTTTCAGGGTTTGTAAGGTTGTTAAAGGGATAGTTCAGGCATTTTGAACTAGGGTTCTGTGGAAAAGTTGTAAACAGTATCTTACCTGCTGTAGATGGTTCTTTGAACAATTTCAATTTAGAGATAATTAAACCATGACCTGATCGTTGAGCTAACAAGCACTAAAACCAACACCAAGTCTAGTATGGATTGCTGTTGTCTTACAATAACTCCTAACTTACATCAATGTTTTCAAAACTTTGTCGTTTTCGACCCACAAAATGACAGATTTGAATATGACTGTTGCTGGTTGAAGTAAACAGACTTTGTTACTTATCCATTAAATAGGAGTATAATGAACATAAACATCCTCAAAATCATTACATTTTTTATAACTACAGTTTTTTTGTTATAATTATGCCAAAACAGATTATTTAATATAAATTCTGGAGATCTCATACAGTGAGTTTCATGAAATCAGGGTGGGTTTATATCATCATATCATTAGCTGTAGCACTTCTTTGACTTAATATTTCTTCAACAGTGGAAGGATTTAAAAAGAAGTATCTGAATAAACCACTAAACGTTGAGATAATAGACCATAGACAAAGTTCTTCTGATCAGCCTTACAGGTGTAGAAAGCAGGTGTTGTGCAGTGAGGCTCTGGCAAACACGACTTTAAATCTCTTTGTTTTCGTTTCCGAAGTGAATTCAATCAAAAATAGAGGCGGCTGTGATGTGGGCAAAGGTGAGCATTAAAATAATATGCATGGCCTGGAATACAGGTTCCATGCACGTGAAAATGAGTGGTGATTTTAAAAACAGTCCTCACCACAAGGCTCGCTGGTCCCAAACACCCTCAATTTAGTGCAACTGTAAATGTTCCTGCTTTGTTGAAATTTTACATATGCAGTCACAGCCCAGTCAGATCCTGATTTAACAGCACATCTGAGCGTCTCCAGAACCAAAGTGGATCATCTTTGTCATACAACAGCGTGAGCAGTTTTATAAAGCTTTACTCTTGTCACCAGGTTTATTTTACATGGTTACTCTTGTAGTCAATGTGATCTTCCAACAGGAAGTGATGGAAGGATGTGTGCTAGCATGTAGTGTTACAAATGTAAATAATGCAATATGGAACTAACAATGATTTAAAGGTTTAGAAAACAGCATTTATGAAACTTGAGATTGGAGCTGATTTAAGTTGGGAGCAATATAATCTGTTCAGACCAGCCGTTAGCTTGTCAGTCCTGGAAGAACTCAATTCCATTTCTCTACATTTAGTTTGTTCAAGTAAAATATTGTTTACAACCTTTCTGTAGAACCCCACTTGAAAAAAAGAACACTTTCTGCAGCTTTAAACATCTGCAGCCTAAACCTTTAGTCGACCTCTTTCTGCTCGCTCTGAGTTTTCGTGATGGGTGTGGTTTCTCATTTTCAATAAAGTGCTCTAAGAGGAAATCTGGATCCTTGAAACACTGATTCAAACGCCCACAGAAACAAACTAAACTTGGGCTCAATAAGGTCCAAAATCTTGGTTTTCTCATCTACTTTAGATATAAAATCTTCCTCAGTGACTAAAGAATGTTCATCTCAAACAGTTAGATTTAGGCTCTTTTCACACCTGTATATTCAGGAACATTCTCATTTTTAAACCTCGATTCTTCTTGAGATTTAAGCTTTTTCTTAACCAGCTACAGATCCATGTTCAGATCCAGAGTCTCGGTTCCACAAATGCAGCAAACGAAGAGGATCCACATGACGAATGAAACCACTGGGGTCTTTTCTGAAGCCTTTAGAAAATCATTAGCACCTACGGTTAATTTTAAAGTCTCTCTAGATTTACACAGGGCCTGATGCTCTGTGTTAGAGGCCTCCTAACAAGGAGGTAAGACCATCAGAAGCTTTACTCTCAGCCAGCAGAGAGGAAACGACACGTAGAGATCATCTAACAGCCAGGTTTAATGTCTCTGGTCCCGGAACCTGCTGCTTGTTAAGAAACAAGAACTTCACCTGCAGCGAGTTTGGCTTCAGGCTGAGAATTCACCTTCAAAGCTGGAGTTTTAACAGAGTTAGCATCTGGATTAGCCTGCGTTAGCTTCTTAAAGCTGGGCTGCCGGTTTTCTCCGCTTCTCGATTGTTTCCGTCCTTCATCAATGCAGAAAACACCTGAAAGGAACCAGAGAACCATTAAACATCAGAATATACACGTTTCCAAACACTCATGAGATTAATTACAAATTTTTATTAATTTATATAAACGTTTTTTCCCCATGGTGGAATAACTAATAAATACAACTTTAATGATTTGTAAAAACAAAAACTGGGTTTAAATTTATTGTGGACTTTCTCTGAATCACAGTGTCAAAATTAAGCATCTCCATCTTCAGTCGTTAATCTATGGTCAGGTCACAGACCTCCGGCTCACCTGAGACATTCCCAGGCTGTGAGTCCTGGGTCTTACTAGGGCCTCCTCCCAGCAGGACGTGCCTGGAATACCTCTAAAGCGAGGCGTCCAGGAGGCATCTTGATCAGATGAACCACCTCAACTGATTTCTTTCGATATGGAGGAGCAGCGGCTCTACTCCGAGCTCCTGCCGGATGACGGAGCTCCTCACCCTATCTCTAAGGCTGAGCCCGGCCACCCTATGAAAGAAGCTCATTTTGGACGTTTGGGGGAAATGGCGGGGTACAAGCAGAGTGTAAAACCCCCAACCTGAGTTAAAGGATGTGGACTACCGTATTTTTCGGACTATAAGCCGTGACTTTTTTCCCGAACTTTGAACCAGGCGGCTTATAGTCCGGTGCGGCTTATACGTGGATTTTTTCTTCAGCCACCAGGGGGCTCTTATGCTCCATTTGCTTCAACCACTCGCTTCAAAAAAAGAAGAAAAGAAAAAGAAAAAAGCGATCGCTTCCAGAGCCGACTGTTGACCAGGAAGCAGCGATTTAAAGATAGTCAGTGGCCAAAAACTCATAAAAGGGGATAAAACAGACATTTTTCACAGTAGAATCTGACTTATAAAAACTTTGGAGCTTAATCCAGGACCAGTTTGTGGATAAACGTCGAGTGAAGAGCTGCTGACTTTTTTTTCAGCATTGCACTCTCCGGGGAAGGAATCCCATGCAGTGACGTATGCTGGAGCGGGAGGYSTTTCCCAGCAGCTGGGCTCTGGGTTTCTCGGGGGAACTATGAAAGGTCAGTGTGAAAAAAAAACGCTTAACAACCACGTGACAGCGCATCGACCGGTCAACAGCCGAGCGACCATACTGCCAGCTTAGCCAGAGGTGTAGCGCCATTTTGTTTTAGCTAGTAGCAGACACGACACGACGGATCTTCGACAGACACGATATTGGACAGTATGTGGGCCCACATCA